AGAGGACTTTATTTTCTTTATTTATATATCTTCTCGAAGCATTCTTTGACCAACTTGGGATCGGTGGTTACTGAGTTGATCGCTTTTAAAGCTGCTGCAGTATCGGAGAAGAAAGTAACTTGGAATGGGTGTCCTCCAACGGTCTAAGGCTAAAAACATAGTGGCGCGACGAGGATAGCGGCGAGCAAGCAGCGCGATATCGCGTCGATCGGGCCTCGAGGTGCTAAAACATAGTAGAGCGACGAAGAATAGCGAGGTACTTACAATTTTATTAGTTTCATTTGCTTATTTATTATTTAAAATGTTAACAGCAGCTAAGATTCTGGATAGTAGTGTCGCAAACATTTGGTTTATTCGAAACCAACACACGAAAAGATGTAGTGTACATGAAATTTGTACACATGAAATTTTCAAAACCCGGAGAGATAACTTATCTAAAATATACTGGTTATGGTGATTACTATCTTTTTGTCCATTCAAAACTCTCTTACAAACACTAAATCTATTAATTTTTTGAAATCCATCGTTTTTCTACAGCGCGACAAAGCGACGAAAACAAAATAATTTGAATCGATCTCGCCGCTCGATCTAACCGCTCGAGCAGATCGCTTTACTATGTTCACGCGTACTTGTCTTAACAGGTTTGTTTTGGACGCGACGTCGCGCTGCTTGCTCGCGGCTCTCCTCGTCGCTCCACTATGTTCTCAGCCTAAAACACTCAAAAAAGTTCCTCAGAACTTACGACTGAGAAAAATCAAAGGTTTTCCTTGATTTAAGTAAAAAGAATCTTCGGATTGTCACGGAGTTTTTAACAGGACACTGTCTCCTCAACGAACACCTCAGTAGGCTGAAGCTGAGAAACAACGGCGAAGGCAGATTCTGTGGGGATAATGGGGAAACACCAGAACACATTATCACTGAGTGCACCGAGACGACGACCATTCGTGCCATGAACTTTGGTATGGCTGATGTCGAGGATGGAGAGCTGGCCTCTGTGGTGCCGTCTCAGATACTGGCATTTGTTAAAGCCCTGAGACTGTATGATGAGTTATAACTCGTTATAACTTAAGAAAGGGGAACACACAATAGATTTGTAAGGTCGCGGTTATTAACTCCCCTCCTAAACATACTACATTCTACATCGGAGAAGCTCTTAGAACGATAGGCAACATGGTCGTAAAATCATGAAAATTTTAGTATCTATATGAAATTTTATTTAAAATTAGTATATAATGATATAGCAGCTTAAATGTTTTGATTTTGTAAGAAACTGGTTTTTCGAGCCATTGTTTTCGTACGATTTTTCATGGTAGCAAAAATGTTAGTCATATTGAACTCGTTAGCGTAAAATGGCCTATATTTTCGTGTTTTACATTTTTTAATTAACCAGTAACAGTAGTTTCATCAAAATCAGTTATTTTAGTTAGTGTCTGAAGTACCTATATATCAACCACTTACATAATCAATTACCTATATCAACTATCAACATATAGTGACTAGTGACCATATCATCTTAATTTTTCTAGTAATTAACTTTTCAGTTTAACGACAACATATTCTAAGTCCTTATATTTACTATAGGAATAAAGATGTCTAATGCAGAATTAAAAAAGAAAATAAATGATGGGGTTAAATATATTTTAAAGAATCTTGTTAAAAAAATATATTAAAAGAAACTGTAAACATTTTTTTATATGTAGCCACTTTCTTCATATTATATATTCTGCGGTTCGAACTCTAGAAGTGAGACCTATTTTAATGTTACAATACGCATCAGGCAATCATTATAATACCCACTTCGACTAACTAGCATATTAGATGCGCACGTGCCCCAATACATACATACATTATCGTCTTTGGTGCTTGCCGATTTGTCATTTAAATAACGGCCCTTTGGCCCTTATTTTTATTTTCACCACGCGTGTCTACGGCTCATTGTTCAATGCCCTAACCAAACCAAACAAGGATTGTTTCATTTTCTTTCGATAAAATGTTTGATAAATTTATGCCACTGTTATTTACTAATTAAAAAGCGTAGAACATTTTGGCCTTACGAGTTCAGTATGAGCTGCAGGTAACATTTTAGATAACATGCAAAACAAGCGTTCGAAAAATGGAGCTTCTTACAAAACTAAAACACTTGAGATGTTAAATCTATTAATAAAAAATATAATATATTTTAACTCTATCTAAAATTTCCTACAAATACTGAAATTTTCATAAATTTACGAATAGTTACTATTCTTCTGAGAGCCTTGAAGACCTGTAAAAACGCAAGAAATTGTAATTTTTTCAAATGATGTCAGTCAGGTCACCGATTTTGACGAAACAACTGTTATTTACTAATTAAAAGGAGTAGAACACGAAAGTGTGAGTTATTTTGGCCTTACGAGTTTAGTATGGGCCTTAGGTAACATTTAGCTTCCATGAAAAATCGTTCAAAAACAAGAGTTCGAAAAATCTATTTTCTTACAAACCTGAAACACTTGAGCCTTTAAACCATTATATATTCTAAATCTGCATAAAATTTCCTACAAATTCTAAAATTTCCATAAATTTACGACCATGATTACTACTCATCTAAGATACTTGAAAATTTGTAAAAAATTACCAAAATTTTTTGTAGGTACTCATGAATTTTGTCGATTTTGGTCAGGTCATCGATTTTGATGAAACTACTGTTATTTAATGGTTATTTACTAATTCAAAGGAATACAAAATAGAATAGTAATATACGAGTAGGCCATACAAAGAATACAAAGATAACAGAAAAATCAGAATACAAAAATATAGGCGATTTTTGCCTTACGAGTTCTCTATGACCTGTAGGTAACATTTTAGCTACAATGAAAAATCGTGCGAAAACAAAGGTTCGAAAAATCCAGATCATTAGAAAACCAAAACACTTGCGTCAAAGCATCGTATACCTATATGTACAAATACTGATATTTTCATAAATTTACTACTATTTTTCTAAGAGCCTTAAAAAGTTATAATAAATACGCAAAAATTATCAATTTTTCGACATTTTTCTAAATGTGTGGAGATACTAGAACAGTTTCGGAATTCCATGAATCTATTGTTAGTTTTGAAATTAGAGTTAAGATGTATGTATGGACACTGCAAAAATATGGCAATAAGACTGAGAGCATGTATTGGCTTAATATGATTAATATAAAAATAACGTTAAATAAATCAATAACAAGACAAATTTGGAACAATAAAACGAATTTAAATAAAGATGAGATTTTAAATAAGACATAATGGAAAGCGGGAAGGAAAAGAGAATGGGAAAATGGCAAAATGAATAATATTTGTGAATAACGATGTAACAACGGCGAGGTCTGGAACTCCAAAATGCAATCATTCTACTCCAGTTAAGGTTTAGGTTGGCTTTAGTTAGTTATTTCTCGATGTAGTTCACTGTCGAGTGCTCGCGCTTCGTAACGAGCTAAACTGATTACACAACAATCTGTGCTAAGCCAAATAGAGTTTATAATTGAAAAAACCGCCCGGCTAGACCCCAGTCGGCCCTCGTACAAAATTGCTTCTTCCGCTGTTATTATTATACGCCATTTTTTAAAATAAAGCTGTTGTTTTAGCAATGTTCTGTTCAAGAAATCCCTCGACTTTTAAAATTTCACCCAGGCATATAGCAATTAGCAATATATATTAATATACCAATAGGTACCATCCAGGATTCATGTCCGGGTTTTTAAGGTATTCCGCGGGGGTTCACACCGGAATTGAATCCGAAAAAACAACTTATCTTTGTTAAATAATTTAATCGTTACGATGTCACATGTCTACTAAACCGGCATTGTTCGAAAGTACCTATATCTATCAGGTCAATTTTTTCGTTTTCAGCGCACTCGGGGGTGTAAATTGTGCATCCTTGTGTCCTTATCTTGTTATGATTCCATGAGCTTTATGAATATAAGTCTGTCAAATAATCCATTTCAGTGACAGTTGTACCTCATTTTAATTCACAATTTTTTTTTACTTCTTGTCATTTTTTGAATGTCACCTGTCGAAATCTGCTTTAGACTCACTGGACAGACTTTAGCTCATGCTAATTTTTAATTTTATATGCAACAGGCAATGGGTAAATTGCTTTGGAAATATCAGTATATAATAGATATTTAATTTTACTAATAAAATTAAGCATTTAATAATGCCAAAACGTAATAATGCCAAAGTGTGTAATAACTAATGAAATGCTCAAAGTTTTCTCGTCTATTAAAAAAGGATAATCCAATTCTGATGTCATATGCAGTACAAAACTTAGTATCTAGTATCACAGCTAGTATCTACCATGTATCTACTGCTACCGGCAACGGAGTAACAAACACTTACGTAACACTTTTAGTGTTTAATTTCCCTTTTAAAGTAAAGATTGTCACCGTCTGCTACAGAATATTTATAACTTCATACAGTACTCGTACATTTCTGAAGCCTTCTCAAAAGAAATTAACCCTGTTCGTTTATTTGTATCTTTATCATTCTGTTTTATTGGCTAGAGGGTACACTAACAATGCATCAACCCTTTAAAATATTTTTAATTATAATTAAACATATCTAAAAAGTACCGTATGATCGAATAAAAACGGCGTCAGCGATGGCTATAAAATGAAGATCGCTGTCATTTTATATGTGAATTTATATGGGAAATGTCATCGATTGTCATTTCATAGCCATCGCTGACGCCGTTTTTTATTCGATCATACGGTATTTCTTTGATATATCCCTCTGGTATATCCTAGCGCATTCGCCATAATGTATTAAAAACGTGTAAGTTTTTACTCCATATATTTTAGGCTCTGTTTTAGGTTCAGATTACTATTTTACAGTTAAAATTCATATTAATTACCATATATTATTGTACTATAACTTTAAATATTAAGTAATTATTTATACAGAGAGAATGATTGCTAATATTGATAAATCATTAGATCATTTGATTTCCATTTTAGATTTTAGAAAGAGATAGACAATATAATCTTTTCCTTAATATGACAGATAAGTGACAGCAAATATGTTTAAAGGGCTGAATTCTCATTCCTCACCACTGCCCAGAAACACCCTATCAGTTTTTAAATTTTCAGTAAATTTGTATTTGCCTAAATTGGAATTTTGTTATAATGTGTTAAATTTTGTAAGTACATGTCACCTGTTGTGTTAGAATTATCATTATAACTTAATTTTCACATGAGTAACCACAAATTATGTTTGTTTATTTTTTAGTGAGGAGAACAAAATGAAAACAGGACAGAACCTTAATAATAACAGTGAAACAAAATGAATTATCAAACATGGTACACAAATTTCTTAATCAAACATCCATATATTGTGTTGCTTGCAATTTCAGTATTTTCTTGTACTTGTTTAACACTACCCTTTACAGTAAAAAAAATAGCCCTACCAAAGTTTCAGGACCCCCAAATGGTTTGTATTTTTATTTTAATATAAAAAAAACACTCATTCTGCATAATTATAATCTGTAGGGTTTCTCTACTAGAGGTACATTAATATCAAATCGGTTAACAACATGGCAAAATTTAGAGGAAGAATGTAGGCCTTCGGGATATTTAACTAAAAACCCTAAGGAATACTTAATGCATAAGAACATGAATAATTCTTTTTTAAATGAACCTCGTATCAAAACAGAAGGGAGAAGAAAAAATAAAAACAGTAGAGATAGATTATTTGGCCAGAACAATTATGTTGAATATGAACCAAAAAATGAAACTGTTTATGGAAAAGTAACTTAAAATACATAGCAAAATAAATTATTAATTATTTTTAATGTTTCCTTAGGTAATCACGAATGAAAAAAATGCAACAGAAACTACTAAGTTTGGGCTAGATTACCTACAAAACTTAACCAATAAAAACAATAAACATAGAGTTTATGAGAAACACTTTTGTGGCCCCCCTGGTAAAACTTTTTATTTTAACTTTTTAACACTTAATGTAAAGAAATTAATAATTTCTTATAGATGAAAAATATGTACATATTGTTGTAAGTACTGTGAACAATCAGGATCTATTTACATGGGAGCATATAAAATCACTGTGCACTCTTGAAAATAGTCTAATGAATTTAAAAAATGTTCCTAGCTTGTGTATTTCAAATTCAGGAATCTGTTGCAGACCCTGGACTTTACCTAACTATATAGCAGCTTTGCATAACAGAAAAAATTGTTTGAATATTCAGGTATATTTATACTTTTCTGGATTTAATCATATACAAAGAGAATTTTCTCAATTTTTTAGGAAAGTGACGTTAATAAAACCAAAGGCATTCTAGAAAGATGTGCACAGTATTTTCACAGTAATGAACTTTACATGAGTTGTTTTCGAAAAAGGGATTGTGAAGTTCCTTTGGAGTGCTTAAAATTTGATGCTGTGTATAACATATTAAATTTTTTAACTAGTGTTTCATTCCTTCCTCCAGAAGTGAGTTAAAATTAAATATTTCACTAAACATAGCTTCATTTGATTTTTTCTTGAAGGATAACAAAAATGAAGGGCATATTTTAAAAGAAACTATAATATTTCTTCCTATTGCTGCGAGCTCAGCTAGTGTACCTTTATATCATGAATTGGAAAATGTTAAAAAAGATTTTGAGGGGTTGTCAATTGTAGCTGTAGATTTTGGAATTAAAAGTGTTATATTTGATGAGTATCTGTTAAGAGATACTTGGTTGATGGGTATGGGAATTGTGTTCATATTCATCTGTATATGGATATATACAGCCTCATTGTTTTTAACGATCATGACAATAATTGCTATTGTATTCACAATGGCTATCACTTATTTTTTATACGATGTTGTATATGAAATTTCTTTCTTTCCATTTATGAATATGTTGACACTCATTATATGCATTGGTATGTCTAAATCTCTTTTGATATTTCAATGTAAGTTTATTTGAAAATTTTCAGGTATTGGAGCAGATGATACTTTTATATTTTGTAAAATTTGGCAAGTCAACAAAAAAGATCAGGCTAATGAAAATAATATTTCTGTAATTATGTCCAAAACTTTTTATCATGCCTTTACGTCAATGTTTGTATCAATGTTGACAACTGCCGTAGCTTTTTGGGGATCTTATGTCAGTTGTGTAACAGCAATTAGTTGTTTTAGGTACTTGTTACTAAATAAGGAATATATGTTCATAAACTAATACATTTCTTCTAGTATATTTGCTGGAACTGCCATAATTGTAAATTTCTTTCTTATGGTAACTTGGTTTCCAGCAGGAATAGTAATATGGGAACAATTTTGTGTCTCAAGACTTGTTTGCCGGTGCTACTTTGTGGCTGCTTTAGGTCAATTCATGTGCTGTTTCAAATCCAGATGGAATCTATCACCAACTTTTTGTAAATGTTTAAGTAAGTTTGTAAAAAATATATAACATACATTTTAAAGCATTTACTTTTGTCAAGGTGCTGCATGGAAAGGGAAAAAACAATTTCTAACAAAAACGATAATTAATTTAAAATACTTCTGGACGTTACTTTTCACAATATTAGCTTTGGCTTCAACAGTGGTCGTATTTGTTTATCCCAGGCTCAGACTTCCAAACTCAAGAGATTTCCAACTGTTTTCTTCAGATCACCTTTTTGAAAAATATGACTTTATGTATAAAGATAAGTTCTGGTTTAAACGCGATAAGGTGAGTAAACTTATATTCTAATATGAAACGAATATTTACTAAATTTATATTTCTTATAAAAATTAAAAAAAATACCGGGCAATAATTAACTAAAGTAGATTTTTGGTTTGCTACGACACTATAATACGAGACTTAATTCTACTTTATTTTATTGACTCATCCTGTATATATTTATGAAATCAATATCCAATTATATGATTTTAGGGTGAATGGGTAAATGATTACAAACTACCATTAAGATTTGTATTTGGAGTGAAATCAGTTGATAATGGCAATCATCTAAATCCATCAGATTTAGGTGTAGTAGAATATGATTTGAATTTTGATATGGCTGATCCAGAGTCCCAGGAATGGCTGAGAAATTTTTGTTTGAACCTTAGACAACAGTCGTTCTATCAGCCTGTAATAGGTATTTCTTTAACTAGTTGTTTCATCGAGACTTTTGCGAAGAGTATGACCAGGAAATGTATAGATGACTTTACGCAGAGAGATCGTTCTCCATGTTGTGACGTTTCCGAGTTTCCTTTTAACAGAACGGTATTTAATACGTGCATAATGGATGAGATGGCTGAGGTATACGGTGGACCTGCAGATATAACATATCCAAAAACAGCCGGTGTTATGTTTTCCAAGGAGAATGTACCAACAATAAAAGCTGTTGTTGTCGAATTTGACAGCAACATTAGTTTTTCTCTGTCGTATGAGGACGTTAAACAATTTTATAACACCGTAGATTCGTGGACAAAAGAAGAGTTGAGTACTGCACCAGACTCCATGAAAAATGGATTTTTTGTCAGTGACTTGCATTTCTATGATCTACAAAATGAACTAGGCAGAGGTACAAAGATTTCTATATTTGTATCCATGGCACTGGCAGCTGCAGTTTTATTTATATCTACATTGAATCCCCTTATTAGCATCCTCGCTATAATTACTATCACTTTTAGTATAATTATAACCATAGCAGGCCTGGTTTTATGTGGATGGACACTGAATATCCTTGAATCCGTCACCGTGTCTACCGCCATAGGTTTAGCGGTGGATTTCAGCTTGCATTACTCAGTAAACTACAAATTGTGTCCACCAAATAAAGCAAAGAACAGAGAGGAAGCCACTGTCTATGCATTATCTCATCTCATGGGACCTTGTTTTATGGCTGCGTTGACAACAGCTGCTGCCGGATTTTTCATGATGTTTTCCCTGATATTACCGTATTACCAAATCGGTTTGTTTATGATCCTTGTAATGGCCGTCAGCTGGATCTACGCCACTTTTTTCTTGGGTGCTCTATTTGCTACAGTGGGTCCAATTAAGAACACCTGTCAATATACTTACAAAGGAATTATACATAGCTTTTTTGGAAATAGCAGAACAGAACAAACTAGACGTAATAATATTGAAGTAATGACAAGCACTTCCAGCAACCAAGATCTCGACAGTGTGTCTTTTTTGAAGCGAGACACACCAAAGCCTGTGAAGAAGAAATCATTTAGGGAGCCCCAAGTTAAGTATACACCCCATCAGGGTCTTACAGATCAATCTCCATCGAGTAATATTACAATCATTATGACTGATGATAATTAATTTTTTCATAATTATTATTTACAAAAATATCTCTCTCAGTGATTAAATCAATCGAAAATTGATAATTAAATCAGGGGCTTATAATACAACGTACATCAAACAAATAATAATAGAAAACCAGATTGTAAGGTATAACATGTTAATTGGTAGGTAGTTTAACTTAGTAGATTGAAGAATACCGATACCGGTGGCGGATTTAGGGTTTGCAGAAAAAGGTTCAGAATTTTGTCTAAGGGCCTACATTTTTTAATCCTAATTTTACTATCTAAACAAATTCTATTAATATTTACAAATTTATGTCACACCTAAAGTTGACGTGAACTCTATTTGCTTTTTTTGCACTGTCAAATTCATTTTTTCCTTTTCAAAACTTGCAATGATATTTTCAAAAAATATGAACAACGAAATGTATATTAAAGTTAATTTCTAATAAAATTATATTTTTAGAAAAGTAACTGTTACCTAAAAAGTTATATTTTTTCTATTATGATTCGAATTAATTGATTGATTATAATAATTTGTCTGTTTCGTGTAAAAAGGAAAATAAGAGACACTGCATCTCTTATTCAAAATCATATATCTTTTCATTATACAGACATTTTTAAAGCTAGTCGTGAATCCGCCACTGATAGTAAATGATGAAATTTCTAATGCAAAAGGCATTTGAGATAGTATTTTGTATTTTATCGGATATATGATGTATTGTCTGATAAAATTACACGAATATAGCGTAATCAAGAGAAGCTAAAATCCTATTTTAGTTGAACATATTCGCCGTGAAATTTCAGCCTTCCACGCGAATATTCTTGATGTAATTAAATTTAAGGTACTTAAATACTTAATAATATAATAACTTAAAAACCACTTCTGTGATATTTTTTATTTTCTAAGATAATATTCTTTCCTAATTAAAATATATCGTTTGTTTTTAATATTTACACAAAACATAACAATACATGAGGCCTAACTTTTAGAAAAATACTAGTTTATTATTTGCACATGTAAGATAATGATTATATAAGATGTAAAATTTCTATGACGCGTTAACGACTGAAATAAAGTCTATAACAAAGTATACTAAACAATATTCCAGTTTTTAGAACAATGTTGTAATATTAAGAAATTTAGTGAAAGTTATATATTGAGATTGAGAAAATCACATATCTAGCACATTCAAGGGCCAGCAGGGTTGGATTTTTAAATGATTTTGTTCAGTACTACACATGAGTTTATTGAACGCATAAAAATCAGCAATATTAGAGGTCTTAAAAGCAATGCAATCTACTTAGTGTAATAATATCATCTGAATTTAAAAAAATAATTATACCATTTTTTTGAATACTCTTAAATTTTGCTTACGCATAAAATTTTGCTTTGTGCAAAACCAGTGGTATTCTTTAGTACATTGGAACCTAGTGGGCACGTTGCCAAATGCCAATGCCCGTAAAAGTGTCTTAAAAGTTCAACTGCTTTTGGTATTATTACCAGTATTATTTTTCTATTTATTTAAATTATTAAAAAGTATATAATATCGTCATTTGTGGATTGAGCATATGATTTGCTGGTTCCTGTATTTGTAAGAAAAACAAATTTAGAATTATTCAGAGTAAAACGATTATTTGATAACATGACAGATATTTGCATTTAACCAACAGTACATGGTTCTTAGATTTAATTACTTGATATCTGGCTGACTATCTGTGCTAAAACTAGGTGAGGTGACTCTAAAGTCACTTTTTGTGATGTAGACTAGTAAAAATACATCATCTTAAATTTAGAGACGAATTGTGTGTTAGATTAGAGTAATAAATGTTGTATGTGTAAGAGCCAATGGCAATTGTGGTGAATAGCTTTAACCGAAATCACTCTGTCCAGAAGACATAACAGAGCATAATATATGTTATGTATGATATATATTTTCATATAAAAATCAACAAGGCAATTTCAATAAAGTTGATCTCTACATTCCACTTAGTCTCTAGTTAAGGAAGTGTAATGTAATAATAAATGTCCTAAATACATATGTGGTCAATTTCAAATATGTCCACTTTGACAATACTACCAAGTATTAATCTTCTGGTAAGCATTAGTCAGTATTATTAAATGTGTTTCCCTTCGACGCACCTGTTTTGCTCAAAATTATATTACCTTAAACAAGATCCTATTGAAACTTCGCTTTTACTTCAAGCATTGTGCCAATATATTTATGCTTTTTAAGCATAACATTTTTTAAACGTTTGTAGGTACATTGTATAATATTTATTTAGATTTTTATAAAGGCGCCAGTGAGCGAATTTATAATATTCCTATACTTTGGTGATATCATTTACACTTTACTGTAACTTATTTCAACTTCAGGTCAGCCTCCGAGTTGACGCAAGTAGGTTGGGGCCCGCATTAACCAAAAACCGAAAAACCTCTATATAATTTATTTTGTTTAATAATCACAAAAAGATACTCATTAATTTAATTTTATTTTTATATATTTCTATATTTTTATAACTACATTGTATACTGCATTATATACTATATAGGTGGTTTGGAATTAAATGTATATATATTTTTTATTTTGGGCCCTCAACTTCGGATTCTTTTGGAGCGTTAAATCCTGAAGTTTGATAATATCTATTGGATACCATATACTTAAGACATGTGTTTATGTTAACTGGATTTAGGTTAAGTATGTTAATTAAGTAGTAGAATATTACAAAAATGAATACATTAAAAAATCAAATAAAAAAAAACATTTAATGTATTTCATTGGGAAGGCACAGTGTTCATTACATTGACTTGAATTTATTAACTTATGTTTGCTTCAAAAATACATCATTAGTAGTTCAAACACTGTGTCTTGGTTAGTCATACTTAGTTGTAATTAGATGTTGAGAAATACATACTGAATGTTAAATAATACAATAACTAAATTATCAAAAATAAATAACCATTTCAAAAATCGAGTTTTACTTTACCTAATTAATGAGTGTATAAATAAAACGTGTATAAATAAAACAAAACTCTCCAAAATAGGATGTAGTTTAATACTTTCAATATTATTGACAAGGACATATTGTCGTAAATTTACATACATATTCAATTTACTGAAATTGGTTTTTAAAAAATGCCAATAAAAACTTAATATTATCACTTACACTATTACAGAACTTTCAACGCTATTACTAATAATTATGTACACACCAGCTTCGAAAGCTAATGTGTAATGCTTTCTGATATGAGGTAATATTAATTATTTTAACATAGTATATAATCCATGCAGAATGATTCTCTTATACTTAATTTGATTATAAACTTAATCTGTCTTCTGCACCTGCACGTAAAATTCAAAGATGGAAAAACCATTTTAACATTAATATCTCTTGGTCGTAGATAATATCTCAAAGAGGTGGCAAATGAGGACGTAGTTTTTTCTGTTCGTCGTTCTGCATTCTTTTTAAATCTATGGAAGACGCAGTAGGCACTCCTAAAGGCAACGATAATAAATCCTCTTCAAACTGCATTATATGCTCAGCTTCAACTAAAGTAAAATTCTTACAATCTATATATCTCTTTAGTTTATAACAGCAACTTACTTAAAATTCTGTGCAGTTTATTTCCATAGGCTAAGTCAGCTTGATACGCGTATAAAAATGTTAAGGGAACTAAAGGTGCAAGCAAAGAAAGCTTTTTCTTGAGCCTGAAACTAATGGATGCTCATCAGTGTAAACAAAAACAAGTTTTGGTAAATTTCGTTACCTATATACGGATCCTATAACACTTGTGAAATAGAAGGCACTCATCCAGTAGAATAACTCGCGCTGTCTGGCTATTTCCAAAGCTACCTGCCTTTCCCTCATCTGATTTCTCATTTGTAACTGCCTCTCTATCTGTATGTGTTTCTATTTATCAGTCTACTTTAATATAATTTATTTCTATTACCTTTATATTGTTAATTTCTGTAATGAAATCTTGATTTTTCTTAAAATTTTCTTCCATATTTATGGTAAAATTATTTCCCATTTTATAAAACTCTTTTATCAAAAAATATTTAATTGTAGGATGTAAATAATTGGGTTTTGACAGACACTTGCGCTAAATTGGTTCTGGATAGTCATTGAGCGATATATTACTGATTCTAAACGCGCGAAGTATGTGCCAGAATCTCTGGATCAATAATTTTATAAAACAATAGAAGAAAAACAGCGGATCTTGGCAACGCTGTAGAATTTATTGGGGGATTTAAACATCTTCGCGTTTGTATTGTGTTGTATGGTTTAATAATAATAATCTCTAAAATAGCGCAGGACAAAATAGCTTATTAATGTAAAAGTGATAATTTTGTTTAAATATTTAAAAGAACAGATTATGTGGAATTTAAGGATTTAAGTACATATTAATAGTGAACATGAAATGGTGAAGGTTCAGTACATAACTCAATTTGCTATTAATAACAATATAAACATATGTTGTTTAAAAATTATATTCCATAACCATTAAAAGATATATCAACATATACAACAATTATATATAGCAAAAATAAATAAAATGAGGCTAATAAAATTGTACAACTATAATTATTTCAACAATAAATTATAATTTTATAATTATCTATTGATCAAAATATACAATGATGAGAGCTAATCCACTTTACTGCTCTTTTTCTTTTGAGAATCCAGAATTCGTTTTGGTATCTCTGCAAAAAGTAGAGTACCAGCAAATACCAAAGCAGTGCCTACCCAGTGAGCAAATGTAAATGGATTTTGGAAGTATACAATTGAAAGTATCAAAGACAAAAACTTTCTTAAGGTTATAACAAGAGTCACAGTTAATGAGGCACATTCTGTTGTCAAAACATATACAGAGCTAATACAAATATATTGAGTCAAAACATTTAAAATTAAATAGATCCAAATAACTGGAACTGCATAGTTCAAAAAAGGAATATTAAATGGATCACTGCTAGTGGCTTTGACCGAATGCTCCCAAATACTGCTTGAATAAATTAAAAATCCTGGGAGTGAATAGAAATGCTGAAATACAGTAAAATATAAAATATATTTGTTTTTTAATATCAAACTTACAGTGTAATACAAAGCTTCCTCAGGGTGTTTTCCATGAACTTTATACAAATTTTCTTGATAAATACCCATCCTGGCTGATAACAACAAAGCACCAGTCAAAAGTAAAATTCCAATGACCCACCAAAAGAATTGATTTGAATCAATTTCCATAGGGGCTTTAACAGTTTCATCATTTGATATAGGATTATTATTATTATTATCACAGTTATTACATGTCTGCAATGTTTTGTATATATTGTTAAGATTTTTTTTAATATAGGTATTCATTTGAAATCATAATAGTACCTTTCTCACATCTTTCGAAGAATATAATGTACAAATAATTATCCCTAATGTTATCATAAACACTGATAAATATTTATCCCATGTGTACTTTTTCTTTAAAATCCATATACCCATTATCATGTTTGCTATCAAAGAACCCTATAATTTTACCAAATTTTAATTGAATAATTTCAGTACAGCTTTAATTAATACTTACAGCTCTGAAAATCATATGAAGTGGTACTGGTATATTAAAATTAAAAGCCCAATTATTTACAACACTTGTCACGAAGAAAAATGCAACAAGAGTCAAATAATCTTTCAGGGGTACTTTTGGCTTTACGGTACCAAATTTAGAGGTAAAAATAAACCCATGAACAGCAATAAAAAGGAACTGCAGAAAGGTTATTAGGTGTCCCGCACCAGCATCCAATCTAAAGCCGGAAACAAAAATATGTGATAACTGAAACATTGTTAATATGCAACTCACTTAATAATGTACTCGAGGAAGACATTATTTAGCATACATCCAACTAAAACAGTAACTATTGCTAAGGAGGCCTTAGAATTCATTTTGCCACTACTATTGTAATTGAAATCCAACGAAATATTTTTATTAAGATATAACAAGCAATACTACTGATAAAATCTAACGACACACTTAAGACAGAAATTTATCAATTTAGAGATAATGACTAGCAATTTTTCGTTCATATAATAACGGTTTCAAATCAGAATATCATGTTGACACGACACAACACTTCTTGATTGCATATTTCTCAGAAAAAAAAACGAAAAAATTGTAGTCTTTAATTTAAAAAGCAATCAAAATCGTTGACGTACGAAAGTACGAAATTTAAAGGTTAAGACATGGTTAAAAGTAGAAGTAGTTCAAAGATAGTAGTTAAAATTAACATATCAAATATATATCTTGAAAATAGGCAACCAAATAAACTTCATTATTTAGGCTTTCTAAAAAAAATTATTTAAAATTAAATTTTAAAAAAATCGCATTCACCATTTTGTCACTAAAATATTTTGAAATATTGTTGATAAACTTTTGAAATATAAAAATCATAATTAAATTAAATGGTAATGGCTATTTTTCTGTTCATATTAAATGTGGCAAAATCTTTATGCATAATAATAAATAAGTTTAGAAGGATTTTACTGTGAGGGAAATAGAAATATTGGTCACGTTAGTAAGGAGTTATTTCATGGTGTTTCTTATTCTTGGTCTACCTCAAGGGGGTCAGACCTATGTGCTATGTGGGGAAAATTTGCCCATAAATTTTCTTTGGAAAAGGGTGTACAAGACCCTCTTTGGGTAAAATCCTAAAGCGCTTGCGTATTAAACAAGCGGATCGGTGCAAGGTCGTTGAATTCTAAGGCAAAGCGCGTTCTGTCACACAAGTGTAGTGCTAGGCTTAACTATAGTATAGCAGTGAAACATCCACAGTTTCGAATTTTCAATTACTCAAAGGGCGAGTTACACCACACGATGAGTACGCCGGTTAAGAAAGTACCCATTCATTTGCAGGTAAGTGTTGAGTTTTTCGCCTTTAACAGGTGCGTTGCATAAGGCTGCAATTTAATACCAAAACGATTTAATTCTACTTTGTTATATTTTTCAAAAAAATTACATATTTTAACTATAGAATATTTCAAATGATTGGGAAGAGAAAATTATAGGCCAAGGACTTTTTACCGGCATCAAAACGTTATTTTGGCACTGTAAAATTAGATCTAAGGTAAAATAAATAGATGAGTAATGATTTTACTTTTAAATTAGCGTGTATATACGCCTGACGGTGTAGTATTTTTTCCTTCTCATTTAGATTTCATAGATAAATATATGTTCCTATTTTGTTAAAGACATCGTACGGATATCCGCTCGACGATTCTTCAATGAATTTAAATTATACCAACGTGTTAACGTAATTATTCGCGACTAATTAATTTGTTGGGCCACTTAACTCAATGGGAAGTGAGACATTTTAGTTTATAAGCATTGTTTTTTTAATTGTATAATTTGAAATAAATATTTTTACATTTTGCAGTAAGTATATTGAGCCCTATTTTAATATTCGAGTTATCTAAATTTAAACATCCTTATCCATAGCAGATTTTTATGTTTATAGCATCGGTATTATTGCAAGTGTTTATATTCAACATTATGGTGCAAAGAAACTATTTAAAATATAAATAAAACTGCGACTTTTTGTAATCCATCTGTTTCTTAAGTATGACATGAATTATCTCTTATAGACATTAAGATTATTATACAGTAATATTTTTATTATTATGCACCAATAATAAAATATTACCCACCTACGTATTTTGGTATAAATGAATCAGGTATTTCATGTGTAAATTAAAGGACAGCCAATGACAATTAAAACCATAAAATTATTATAACGAATTTTTTTTAATTAATAGGTTTAGTTTTAAAAATGATATTACGTACCTACAAACAATAGATCAAAATAAATATATAGGAAATAGCGGGTAAATAGGTTAAATTAGGAATGTTACACTCAAATATTATTTGTTGCTAAAAATAAAAATGCTGTTTATATATTTGTTTAACTTAAAAAAATTGGTATGGCGATATTTGTTTGCACAAGAGCGGATCTTCATTATTTGTCAGTAAATATTAAGCGTTTTAACAAAAATAGGATAGATTTATTGGTTAAAAAAAATAATGTACAACGGATTTAAATTGTGCCTGTCATCATACCTAGAGTCCTTTTTTCCCATGCCAATTTTAGATTATAAATTATTTTTAGACGTCCTTCTTCATTTAGGTATCTATAAAATTTAATCTATAAGTCTTTAAAATAGCCAGACCCGAGAAAAGGTAAAGAAAAGAACAGGTAACTGTTTAACGAATTGATTTCTTTCTTGCGATATGATATAATGTATTTAAAAAATAATTGGACTCTAGTTCTATCGAAATATTTATACCTGATATAAAAAGGCACCCAATGGCGTATCCAAAGGGAGTTTTTAGGCTTCTAATCCCTCAAATTCTGAATAAGAACACGTAGATAACTAAATTTATATTGTTCTGGATAAAATAGAGGTAAAAGTTTAGTAATAGAGGAAAATAACCAAATATGGAATAGTATCCCTAAGTTTTAATTAGTTTGAAGTGTTTATTTTATACTGATCCATATTTGGGTACCTATTCCATATTTAGGTGCCTTTATAATTTGTTTTTGAGAAAATTTTATAATTTAAATTAATATATGTAACAAAAAGCAGTTATCAAGATATGTGCAACTGTATGACTAATAATAACTAAAAATAAAAAAAATTGATTTAAATACCTTTTTTATATTTATAACAAAAAAAAACTAAATGGTATTCCATATTTGGATACTTTTCTCTAATCAGACCCCTCGAAAAAGAAATTCTGTGTGCGCTACTGAACTGAGCCAAGGTGTGTTGAATACAGGTGTGCGAATCATTAAAAAACTCTTTTTAGAGCTCTCAAAATCGACTATTAATTCGGCACGGTCAAGTAGTAAACGAAGATGGCATCACTGAAGACGACGTTTACATTGAGGATGGTATTATTAAGCAAATCGGTAGGAATCTTATTATACCAGGAGGCACTAGAACCATCGATGCCAGAGGCAAATATATCCTGCCCGGAGGCATCGATCCTCACACCCATTTCGAGTTCGAATTTATGGGCGCCAAATCAGTGGACGACTTTTATCAGGGAACAAAAGCTGCCATTTCTGGTGGTACCACGATGATCAGTACGTATTAACTGCAAATTATAATATTTGTAGTGTGAAATACAGCGCGTTGTACCGGGTGTCCCACTAAGAATAGCTCTCGGCTGTATCTCGGAATGTATTAGCCGTAGGGCTTGCGGAAAAAAAATATTTATAACATTATAACTAAAGGGGCTATGAGAAATTGCTGGAAATTATTTTCAAGTTTGTAAAACGACCGCTAGGTGGCGCAACTGCTATGGAAAATAAGAAAAGAGATTTTTTACAGAATTTTGTCTAGATAATGGGTACTATAAATAATAGCTTCATAATCTTCAGTAAATTTTGGATTTTTTTTGTTTGATCCATTTTCCCCTATCTGCTAAAGTAAAATGGTGGGGGAAGGTGAGATCTATCTTTATTTAAATGCTAATAACTCCGGACTGGATGATCAGAATCCAACAAACGAGGGCTCGTTTAAAAGAGCGTTTCTTACTCTATATTATACCATAAAAATAATAATAATACGGTTTTGAACATAGACGCTAGGGGGCGCTTTCTTACAATTTAACAAACATAGCGCATTTTTTCAAAAAAATTAAATACGATAGTATGTGTTATTTTAGCTGATAGTAAAGAGTAGTAAAAGCTTAAAAAGTCAGCGAAAACCGCATCTGGATATCTTCTTTCAAACCGAAGATATTAGCAAAATTATAATAAATATAAAAAAATAAGCCCTTAATTACCTTATTTTTACAATACAGTATCAGTAGCCCTCTTGATCGCGTTGGATTCCGATCATCCAGTCCAGAGTTATTAATATTCAAATAAAAACAGATCTAACCTTCCCCCACCACTTTATTTTGGTAGATAGGGGAAAATGGCTCTAACAAAAAATATTCAAAATTTACTGAAGATTATGAAGCTGTTACTTATAGTACACCTTAGCTAGGCAAAATTGTGTAAAAACTCAATTTTCTTATTTTTTGTTGCAGTTGCGCCCCCTAGCGGTCGTTCCACAAACTTGAAAATAATTTCCAGCAATTTCCCATAGCCTCTTTAGTTATAAATATTTTTTCCGCAGCCGTTACGGCTAATACTTTCCGAGATACAGTCGAGAGCTATTCTTACTGGGACACCCTGTACACACATGATAAACTATTTTTATAAGTTTCTTAAAAATTGATTATCTTCTGTGAAATTTTTGAGAAACTTAATATAATCTATTTTCCATGTGTGTCCTATTATCTTGAACACCCTGTATAACTTGTTAAATATTATTTTCAGTTGACTTTGCCTTTCCCAAACCAGGAGAGTCGATCTTAGACTGTTTTTATAATTATCGTCAAAAAGCTGATGACAAAGTGTGTTGCGATTATGCCTTACACGTGTGTCTGTCTCATTGGTCTGAACAAGTCAAACGAGAAATGGAGTTACTGACAAAGGAACACGGTATGTCATGTTCAAAATATTTATTATAATTGACGAAATAAAAAGAAAACGTCATGCAAACAATAACATTCTCTTCGGTATTTATTGTCCCTACGAAAAAATATATTTGAAAGCATGTCTAAAAGCTCTTTGATCCAGGGCTTAAAATTCTTTACCATGCCGCACTATCTTGGCATAAAAATAGAATAAAAACTTCTAGACAGAGCGTCAGCGTTCTGATTCTTATGGTACCGTTTAGTCTATCTTTTTGTCCTATTTTATTAATGAGCACTTACAGGCTTTTTTTGCTATTTCAATCACCCTGGTAAATTGATTTATTAATTAAGAACAGTTACTTATTTTTTGATATCGCTACCTGTATATTTCCGTAAATAAGATATTGTATAAAGCCCCTATTCAATTTGTATCTTTTTATTATACAGGGTGAGTCATATTTAAAACAGTTTACTACATAGGCAAAGGCCTAAATTAATTAGATGCCATTATAATGCCATATTGAAATTATTTACAAATACAAATAATATATCATAAATAATATAAAAATATAACTATATAAATTTTGCGATAAAAGAGAAATAATAATAATATCTATATATTTTAATCTTTTATCATAATTTAATAGAATATGAGACTCAGTTTTGAGTTACCCCTGATTATTGCTAGAAAAAAATATCTATATGATCTTCAACCAGTATAAATTAAATTTACGCTAGTGATATTCTATTTATATTTAATGAATTATGGATAAAAAACATAAAGCTGAGCAGATTTTTTCTGATACTATTTCACCCTGTATATTAATTAACTATGTATTTATTTTATAACCTAGTCAGTTTGATTGTGACTAGATATTTTAGATTGTTTTATACAGTATTTTATTTTAATCTGTGCATAAAAATATAATTGACAGCTAATAAAATGTATTTAATAAAGTATTATAGAATGGAAACAGCATAATAGTAGGCATAGAAATAACATTTTAGTTTGAACTTTGCTTTTTTCATTAATGATCAGGACATTTCAGCAAAACTGGCATCTACGGTTACTACAGGTTCAATATAAATATATTAATAGTAAATACTTTCTTAATACTTTTTCGTATTTAGTTTAGTATAAACAGTTTATAAATAGGGTTTATATGTTAATAGATTTTAAGACACATGTTAATGTAGACTCAGGATCTAGACCTACTGTGGCGTCGTTTTTATTTCATAACAAAGTACAACATTTATTTATGACCCATAAAAAAGGTTGCTTGTAATAAAGTTACAATTTTAAAGTGTAGTAAAAATAATATTAATAATGTAATAAATTGATTATTATGAGAGAAGCTTTATTTTCTGAATATTTGCAGCTCATTTTAATTCTTTTCAAATTGTTATAGGTGTAAATTCATTTAAAATGTTCATGGCGTACAGTTTTATGTTGAATGACGGTGAGCTATATAGCGCTTTTGAGCAATGTCAGAAATTAGGGGCTGTGGCTCAAGTCCACGCTGAGAACGGTTCAATAATTGCCAAAAATGTGGAAAAGCTTTTATCAAAAGGCATCACAGGGCCTGAAGGACACGAACTCTCCAGACCAGAAGATATTGAAGCGGAAGCTGTAAACAGAGCTTGTGTTATAGCAAAACAGGTAAATATAATATATGTCTTTTATAAAACAAGAACATTATCTTTTAGTTTAATTTTTCTTAACGAAATACCACTCTGTATCTAAGTACCATTCGGAGCTTGAATCGTTCGTCATAAAAAGAAATAGGCGTTTCACGAAGACTTGGATTATTGATTAACGCTTAGATCAGAGCCGTATTCAGGGAAATTTTAATATTGCATGCTCTCTATACCGGGTGTTTCAAAAAACGTGGGGAGATTGTTCCGGTAAAAATAAAATTTATTTTTCATATCAACATAGGTCTGATTCTGCTTTGTTTCGTAGCTACAGGGTGTTAAAGTCTTAATATTTTTCGATTTATGATGATTTTTTTCCAATCACTTTTAGCGTTTCGAATGAAATTTTGTGGGTAAAGGTTACTATAAAAGCGACATATTTTAAAGCTAGAAAAATGTCGACATATTTATCAGGGACGTGCATATGTGGGTTATCACTGGAATATTTAAAAAAAAGAATGTACGCCACTGACTTTTTTCTCTTGTTAGTGAATAGTGTAAGCAGTTTAATGCCAATTAAAAGTTGTCTCTTGATATTTTGTCGATTTCGGCCTCCTTTATGAGATTAACGCAATTTTATTATATTTGCCTTGATCCAAGACTAATAGCAAGTACTCATTGATTCCTCATCAAAAAATATGAAAAAGTGCCTATAAACATGGGTATGGAAATGCATAGTTTTAGAGTTACAGGATGTTAAAACTTTTAAAATTGGGTTTCTTGTAATTATCTTAAATACCATTATTTTTTTATAATAACTAATAGTAATAATATTTAATAATAAATTAGGTAAAATATATAATTTATTAGTTTTATTTTAATTTTAATTTTATTAATTGTGATTAATAAAATTGCGTTTATCTCATCAAGGAGGCCGAATTCGACGAAATATCAAGAGATAACTTTTAATTGGCATTAAACGGCCTATACATTTTTGATATCAAAAGAAAAAAATCAGTGGCGCACATGTTTTTTTTTGAAAAATATTCTAGTGATAACCCATATGCATGTCTCTGGTGAATTTATCGACAGTTTTTTAGCATTAAAATATGTAGCACTTATAGTAACTTTTATCCTCAAAATTTCATTCGAATCACTAAAAGTATCTGGAAGAAAATTATAATAAATCGAAAAATTATTAAGACTTTAACACCCTGTGGGCACATGTTTTTTGAAACACCCTGTATATTAATGTTCTCTAAAAAGAGGTAGCCACAAAAATAAAAATTTTCAAAAAATTAATAATTGTTTTTAAATCTTGTATAGAAAATTAATATTTATATACAGGGTGTCCCAGAAATAAGTGCAAATATTTTAACTGGTAGTATAGTTCAACCCCAGAAACACGCCTATTAGGTTTTTTTCGCGAAAAAAAAAATTTGAAAATTCGAAATTTTTTGAAAATTTTTTTTGGAAATTTTTTAGTTTTTAGTAAAAAACTTAATTTCTTGATAATATGGCAACATAGGTATTATATTAAATTTACAAGAAAGAAAATCCAGAAAAGATTCAGTGGTTCTCAAGATTTCAGCAAAAAATAATTTTTTTTGAAATTTTCAAAGTACAATAACTCCGTTATTTTGGACTTATTTGAAAAACAACAAAGAGAAAATATGTTTCTTTTGTCGAGATCTACCGCCCCTTAAAATATTTGCACTTATTTCTGGGACACCCTGTATTTATAAAAATAAAAGAACGAGTGGAAACCTGTACCTGGTTGTGCATCGTCGTTGGGAACAGGTCCCATGCAAATTTTGAACTATCGAAATATTATTATTTTAATTTGTTAATTTTTTATTTTATTTGAGATTTTTGCATTAGTTCTTTTGGTTTTCTTCTTTCTTATTTTGCACGTAACTTATAGGTAGAATGCCCTTTATATGTAGTGCATGTAATGAGTAAATCAGCTGCAGAAAAAGTAAACGAAGCTCGCTTACGAGGGACCCAAGTATACGGAGAGACCCTAGTGGCGGCTATTGGTACCGATGGTACCCACTACTGCTCACGGCATGGTTTCCAACATGCCGCTGGCCATGTCCTTAGTCCTCCTCTTAGATCGGACCCCAGCACCCCTCTTGTTCTTATGAATTTCCTTGCACAGTGAGTTTTAAGAATTTTAAGTTTTAGGCTTGCTTTGCATTTTGGGTTGAAACTATCTGTACATGCATGTGGTGCTCTTCTAAAAGTTAATACGAAACCATTCGATAGGTTAATTTGCCAATATATTTGGTTCGGGTGTCGTCGGTAGCATCAGCCAATGCGATAGCTGATCGACAGTCCAGTAACCAAAGAGTGTTCGGAGAGGTGGAAGCATCCTCCATTGGGGTGGTTGGCAACCCCCGCGACCCCAAATTGGTTACTTCTCCACCGATAAGGTCTAGTCCTGATACATCAGCAGAACTTTTACAATTTCTGTCATCGTAAGTGTGTCGTTTCTGTAAATTGCATTTTCTTAGCACTCCTCAGTAATAGAGGAAACATACCAAATGATTTAACTACATATAAGCTTAAATATTACCGCCAGTTAAAAATGAAATATCGGCAATTATGAATAAATCAACCAAGAAATGCCCATTTTTGGCAATTTTTACATATTTTCAGCAGTCTTAGAAAGTAGTTCAAAGAACTCAAAAAAATATTTATTTGTAGAAGATTTTACGTAGATTCAGAATATACCGGGTGCGTCTCAAGAGTGGCTCGCCATAACTTTTTTAGTTAAAAAACGAGATTTGGTATCTTAGTATATGACATAAATTAGGATTGATTGTTTTCGGTCACTTCCTGTTTCACCGGAAATGATTACAACTTTTAATTTTTAAATGGCACCCTCGGTATTTTTTTACTTTATTCGATAGAAAATGACACTCTGAATAGAATGACATATCATATGTCAACTTTTGACATTTTCGCATATGGTTTATTTCAAATTATAACTTGCGGTTCGTAACGAAAATTTTACTCGAAATACCAAGTGTGTGGTATCAAATTATTCGTAAAAAAATGCTTCCTAATATGCTGATGAGCCACCCTCGTTCCGTTTGAAAAAATTGAGATATGATTAAAAATACGATTTGGGCATTTTCTAACTAGTCATGACAAGACACCAAAAACATTAGACGATCAAATTTATTTTTCCAAGGCTCCTTGATTAAGAATTGAAGTGATTTTAATTAACATAGCCATGGCACTCTAGATTGAATTTTAAAATACGAGTTTTTATTAAGCGAGTATGTCAAAAGTTGACATATGATATGTCATTTTATTCAGAATGTCATTTTCTATCGAATAAAGTAAAAAAATACCGAGGGCGCCGTTTAAAAATTAAAAGTTATAGTCATTTCCGGTGAAACAGGAAGTGACAAAAAACAATTGAATACGTCAATCAATCCTAATTTATGTCTTATACTATTATACCAAATCTCATTTTTTATCTGAAAAAATAAAAAAGTTATAGGGGGTGAGCCACTTTTGAAACGCACCCGGTATACATTTTTGAAGGTTTAGGTATTTTGATTTTGTGAGAAAATATTTTTTTAGAGCCTTGTTTTTTAGTTATTTTTGATGACAGTTTTTGATGATAGTTAAATAATATACACATATACTGTTCTCGTAAGGCTACAATAGCCTATAATTTCTTACTTTACGCCTTTTAATTAGTAAATTTTTTAAGAAAATCGGTGACATGAATATTCATGACTATGTGTATGGAAAAATGCTCATTTTTGAAATTTTATAAACATTCATAATATACCTTTAAAGGCTCAAATATCTTGGTTTTGAGAGAAAATTAATTTTTTAAAAAATTTGAGAATTAATAAAAAATAGCATTGTTGATATTTTTTTTATTTATGTTATAATTACACACATAATTTTATTGTCATAGATAAAAAAACGATATAATATTTCTGAAATTTTAATTTGCAAACACGTGGAACTTGTAATTAATTGTTCTAATCTAAGTTCCATAAGGTTAACTCAGTTAATTATGTAGTCCACACAAGAACAGTAATATCTGTGTAAAAAAACGCTCAAGTTAAACTATTAAGATTTATGTTGAGCATGAAAAACGAAAAGAAATAAAACAAACATATCTGATACTCGAGACACTTATTTTAATTACATGTTTATTTAATTTTAACTTTTGTTATGAAATTAGAACTAGGATCTGAAGAAAAACAATAAAGATGTGCATTTGGTAATTTGGTTGATCGAAGAAATAAAAACAAAAACAACTAATATTTGGCCGCTTATTTTAATTATATGTTTATTTTTAGTTATTCTTTTAAAAATAAAATTAGGATGAAATAGAAAAATAATAGAAAATGTGCTATCGCAGTTTGGTTGATAAGCCAAATAAATATTATAAATTTTTATTATGGTCGATAAGAAAAAATAGTTTTTAAAGTTACCATATTAATGAACATAATTATTACTCACCTATAATGGATAGAAAATAATTGCATGAAAATAATACTATCAAAAATTTAAATTGTATCATACAAAAAGTGTATCATAAATAAACATATTATGCTTCATTTTAAACTAATTTTAATGTGTTGTATTGTTATGTACGTAAAATTAATTTACTTTATATTACTAACATAATATTACTACCTAAATACATAGTATAAGTAAATAAGAAGATGAAGTTCATAATTATTAATGCGTTATTAAACACAAATGAGGGCATAACTTAATTTTGTATGTGGATGGTCTATAATTATAACAACTAACCTGTATTTCAGTGATATTAATAGAGATTTGTAAAAAAACTATTTATAACAAATATAACAATAATTGAAATAGATTTTTAAATTTTTACATAAGGATATCATTATACTTTTCTTATTAATTAAATGGCGAATGCGCTAGGATATACTATACATTCTGTGTATACTGAAACTTTTTTTTCTAAATATAGAGACGTTTTACAACTGGTAGGAAGCGATAACTGCACGTTCAACAAGGCTCAAAAAGAATTAGGAAAAGATAATTTTACAAAAATACCTAATGGAGTTAACGGAGTTGAAGACAGAATGTCAGTCGTATGGGAAAAAGGTGTCCATACTGGCCTGATAGATCCAACTAGATTTGTAGCAATAACTAGCACCAACGCTGCAAAAATTTTCAATTTGTATCCAAGAAAAGGCTACATCGGTGTTGGATCAGATGCAGATATTGTTATTTGGAATCCCAACGCCACTAGAACGATTTCAGCTAAAACTCATCATCAAGCAGTCGACTTTAACATATTTGAGGTAAAACTGCTTGCATCTAATGAAAAAAATTATGTTTATTGTTGACTAAAACTGAAATGTTATTTCAGTTTTACATCTGTTACGAAACTTACATCTGTTAACAACTACTGTTACGAAATAATGCTACAGCTTTTGTTTGTCTTTTTCTAGGGAATGGTTTGTCATGGAGTACCAGAATATGTTATTGTCAATGGAAGAGTAATTGTGGACGAAGGACAACTCAGAGCCGTCCAGGGTTACGGAAGGTATATTGAATCTCCAGCATTCCCACCGTTTGTGTACGATCCTGAAAAGGTTGCAGACTTAAAACCTGAACGAAACGGAACTGTTGAAGAAGAAATACAAAATATAAGAGAAATTGAGAAGGTTTGAACTTTAATTTTTAAAAAGGCTTGTGTATATTTATACAAAAATGTGAATTTTTAGATTCATTTAGAGGAGAAGGCGTGTTCATCACCAACTCCAACCATACCTGAAGGAAACGTTTTAACACCTTCTGGAAAAGGAGCCAGACCTGAAGGACAAAGAAATATACAAGACTCTTCATTTTCTATTAGTGGTAAGAAACTTAGATATGTGAGAAAAGTGACCACGTGAAAATACAGGCCTTGGGAAGCCGTAGTAACGTGACCAGTGGCGTAACAACAGACTCACGGCCCTGTGTGCAAAAAATTTACCGGGCCCCCTATTACACCTACATATTTCAATACTTATATACTAATCTGAAATATGCACTCATATTTTAGGTTAGAAATAACATTATCAAATTAATTTTATATAATATTATTTATTACTGCAACACAGAATATGTAACCCAAAACATATAAAATATCAAGTAAATAAAAACAAAACAAACTAAATTAAAATAAACAATGTAAATAGGAACATGAACATGTTAAGAAAGAAGTATTGGGAATTCCGTCATAACCAGCAGAGGTAATCGCGATATTATTTGAAGCAAGAACAAATTGAATTTAAGTGCTATAGCAATTTTTTTATGCCCTTCGTATGCAGGGTGCGATAATAAGATATTTTTTGTACGAATGGAATACCTTGTACCTACAGGGTTTTCATGTGTTTTGATTCCCTTATAAATAGGTTTTCACAATAGTCGGCTACTTTTTGACAAAATGAGAGATGCCCTAATAGGATTTGTCATGGCCCTCTTAGTTACTGAGCTACAGGGTGATTTTAAAAAAGTAGCAGTTTCGGGCACCTCTCGTAACTCAGCTGCCTTATCGTCCCCTTAATACGACCATTAGGTAACTAGAGTTTTTGTGATTTTGAGTTAACTAGTTTGGCCAGTATAGTTTTTCATGCTCTTTTTGATGCTACAACTAGCTTAGTTCTATTTCTATTCGATGGTACAGAAATCCAGTGACAATACAGCAAATTTCCTTTTTGTCAAATTTAATGCTCTAATGAAAAATCATATATTTCCAGTTATTTTCATTTTGCAAAATAAAAAAGAAAACACAGCTACAAAATTGCACCAGAGCAAGTATAAAGTAATAAGTTATTTTCGCGATAGCGTGTGCTAGTTAAGTAGTTAAGAAGACATGTGATAGATAAGAACTTAGTTCGGGATCGCCCGATTCTGCTTGATTCGCGATGGCTATTGTGATAGATATGGAAATGCGGCCAGGGCCCCCCGAGGGCCCGGGCCCGTGAGCTTTGCACACACGGCACATCGATAGTTACGCCACTGAACGTGACAATAGTAGATATCATATTTGTCTTAAATGGACGTGCAATATTTATTTCAAGATATTATTTACCATTAAGAAAGATTGAAAAAGATCATGTGATGAAACTTTAAGGACAAGTTAATACCAAAAATTAAGAAAAATATGATATGTGAAGAAAACATTCTTAAAAAAAAATTAATCTGTAAAGTTACACACCATAATAATATGTAACAATTACTAACAGATTGTAATCATTATTTTATAAACTAGATAATTTATATTTTTTGTTATTTGCAGAAGACTTGGATGTTGAAAGGAAGTCTTGTATTCGAGTTCGGAATCCTCCAGGTGGAAAATCGTCAGGTTTTTGGTAAAAACCGATCTATGACCAATAATCTTTTGCTTTGATTAATACTGGTTTCACCTTATATATTTAGTGTTATGCCAAAGTGACAGTTTCAGTTATATTTAATGTTATTTAGAAAAGTACCTGTTAATTATTTATTGTTTTTATGATTGTGTTAATAACCAAGCTACAGCTGCTAGAACCAAGGAGATTAAGGAGGTATATCGGGCTTGTCAAAAAATATATAGAAATATATACGAAATTTACACAGTGTATTTTCTGTGTCCCCTCTGTATTAGAATTTTTTCTGACCTAGATTTTTTTATATTGTCAATACTACATGCATACTGAGTAGAATTATTAGCTAGACATATAAATTTATAGAAAATATTTTCAATAATCTTTGTCAGTCTTTTTCAAGTTGGTAATGGTAATCTTGGGGCTTCTCTGTTACCATGACTCCCCTCAAAAGTCGATAAACCTCCACAAAGATAAAAACAATTCTGAGCCAAAGCATCATCTTCCATTACCATATATTATAACAGTTTTTTTCGAAACTAATGATGGAAAATTAATACCACTGCCTATGATGTACTGACTTGCGTTTTATTTCAACCAAACAAAATAAAAAGAAATCAAAATAGTTATAAAACAGCTTAGGAAGTTCTCATATGCATTTTAGTACCAATTTTCTGGCAATGCTGGCAACACAACAGATTTTTTATGTGTTACAATAATAAGGAATGATGTATGACAAGATTTGATGTCGTGATGCTGTTGATGTTAGAATTATTATATAAACGCTGAGAATAATATATAGTTTACTGATTATTAAGCACCTATACTAGTTTTTGTATTGGATGACTGTTAAGGAACCAAGCTTCTTCATTGAAAATTAAATTTGTATGCTTATATATTTTATAACTTATTTCATTTCATAAAAATTGTCATTGAAAATTTCTTGTTTTATTTTACCTTTAGATTCCTGAGTCATTTTACTGTCTACTAAATGGCGAATGTGCCAGATATTAACAAAATATTGAAAGTCACTTTATTTTTACGATTTTGATTATGAAAGAAATTTAAATGTTAAATTCTTAAAATTATTTTCAGTTTATTGACACGATTAACAATGTATTTACAATATCGACCTTTATCTCGATAAGGAAATTGTTTAAAATACGAATGATTCATTAATAAATTATTGATCTTTTTGATTGACACTATAAAGAACAAATTTTTAAGCAAGAAACATTACAACTTTATACATAAATTATACTCATTAGCCTCTTATACAGATAGGAAAATTATAAAAAATGTTCAATATAAAAAATGTTTATTTTAATATAATTGAAAAAAAATGTATTTAACAAACATAAAACATTTCAAGATCAGGACTATCTACAATATGTAAATAAAGTTTGTATGCATCATTTATATGAATTTTAGTATGATTAGAAATTCAACGTATGAAATATATTATTAAGTTTGAATTCAATATAAATCTTAATCTGAACAGAGCAAGTTATTACAAATAAAAAAATGATCTCAAAATATTTTACTGAAAGGCAGTTCTCGACATGGATCAAATCTAATTTCATCTTTATTGAAGATGTTTTGAGGAAAAAACGGCGTCTTTAAAATCTAATTTTCGGTCTTATAAAATCAAAATTTAACCTTTTGAATCCGGGCACTTGTATCGATTTAAAAAATCCGTATTTTTACAATTTTGCTCCGGAACATGGGAATTGGAAAATTCCGTTTGATGTGTGTTTTCCAATTTTTCGTTTAGGATTTTTTGTGTGACTTTTATAATTCCCTTTCAATTTTTAAATTGGATCAATCTGTCTGAGGCGAATATAAAAATGTATATATTGAAAACTTTTATTCCTTTTTGGGTACCCAAGTAATTTCAATTGGTAAATTTGAGGAATTTATAAAATTTTAAGGAAAAATATTTTCGAAGATAGGTATATGTACTTTTCTCAATTTAATCTTCGAAAAATGATATATATTGTAAAGTATTCTTGAAGGGATTAAATGAAAGTTGTAGCGTATTTACAGTGTATTAAAGGATATTTGGATATGTTTTATAATTTCTGTTTTTGATTATATTCACTTTGCAGGAAACGACCAAAATGTTTCACCAACAGATATCCTGATATTATCCTGAAAACCTAAACACTCTGTATAACAAAATTATTTTATATAACATTATCTATTCATTCGAAAAAAATGAGTTTTGAGATATACGTTAGTTATTGAGCATATACAGTACGTCTGTCCGTTCTGTAACTACGGGGTATCCGCGAGAGGGGGAAACGATATTCTCTCGACGTTTTTAATTTTTAATCTTCGAAAAATGATATATTATATTGTAAAGTATTCTTGAAGGGATTAAATGAAAGTTGTAGCGTATTTACAGTGTATTAAAGGATATTTGGATATGTTTTATAATTTCTGTTTTTGATTATATTCACTTTGCAGGAAACGACCAAAATGTTTCACCAACAGATACCCTGATATTATCCTGAAAACATAAACACTCTGTATAACAAAATATTGAAATTTTTAAAACGCCGATCTGAACCTAATATCAAAGAAAATTTATCAATAAAAGTAATATTTTGTGATAAACTCTAATTCGAAGAATACCTACTTAATAATTTATAACTTGGATTTTCCAAGACCAAAATCTCTGACCAAACGATTTTAAGATAACGTGTTTTGTTTTATTTGTAGATTGATATATTGGAAAAAAATATAGGTATTTTAGAACCCTCGAGCAGTATTTTGTTTATTATTGTCCCGTCAATCAACATGAGTTTATTCATCTTAATAAACTTTCAACCCATGTTGATGGTAGATAAAATAGCCAAAAAAAAATTCTCATTTTTTTAGATGGAAATTCCTAATAGGTACTGACCACGACACTGTTTATTCAGTTGACGAAAAAAATACAGAAAATATCAACAAAAACTAGTAAATAGTTAAATATTACAATATGCATAGATCCAGAAGTTATATGGCTATTGTTGCTTTAACTGACCACGATAGAGATCAACTTCTGGACTTTAAACTATCTCTGCCAGAGTAACTGCCAACAAATAATAATAATATGGCCTTTCAATGACAGTGACATTATAAAACAATAACCACTATGAGAATCAAATGCAAGACATGTTTTTAGTGCCAAAATTGCTGTAAAACATTACTGTCTTCGTCAAAAGTGAATATCTTCAATAAAAATAAAACTATTGAGATGAATAAAAAAATAAACTATCGAGAAAAGATGCATCTTAATTGCCTTAAAAAACAAAAAAAAAATTGGTTGCCTTCTAAGGGGTGAGTTAAAGAGTATACCAGGATGGTTCGAATTGTATTCGGAAAACTTCGGCAGTATAAAAATAAGTAAAAAAGTTCGTATAAATGTATGTCCTAAAATCTTACGGTGCTGAGATACAGAGTGTAGAAGTTTCATTTTTATTTGGATATTTTCCATATTAATTTCTGAACTCGCAGATATTTGGATGAAAATTGGTCTCTGAATGTTTTTTTTGACATCTATTTGAAAATCTATTACGTAAAAAGGTCTCTTGGCAAAAATTGCTACGAGTAATGGTTCTCAAGATATTTGGAATCCATGTCATCATGGACATAAATTAGACATGTTGACTAGATATGTTGAACTGAAATAATAAATTTGAAATGTTTTTGTGTCAAAAAGTCAACAGAAACTGTTTTATCATATTTTTTTCTTCGAAAAAATAAATTAATTTTTTAAAAATAATTTAAAAAAATAAAGTTTTCAAATTTATCATTTCAGTCAAATAAACATGTTAAATAGATAGTTATTTTTGTCAATAATGCCATGTACTGACTATTTCCAATCTAAATATTTTGAGAACGGTTGCTCGTAACTATTTTTGCCAAGAGGTCTTATTTACATAGAAATCGACATAAATGTATTTCTTTTTCACCCTGTAGTTTTATCCAGGTTTACATGAAAAGTTACACTTCAAACCAGGTAAAAAATATGTAGGTGGCGCCCCCTATATGTAGCAGGCATAAAAAACATTCAGAAAAAATTCAGACACCAATTTTCATCCAAAATATATGAGTTAGTTCTGAAATTATATTGAAAAAAATCGAAATAAAAATGAAACTTCTACACCCTGAATCTCCGAAACGAAGTCTCCATAATGCAATTAGAACCACTCTGTATATTTAAACGTTTAAAGGGCAGGAAAACTATGTGGCAAAAAATATTTAAACAAAATATCTGGTTTCTAATTAAATTTAGTGAGGTTCATTATGCATTAGCAACAGAAGAGATAAAGGTTTTGTTAAGTATCAATGCTTTTTATCTTGATCTTAAAAATTATAGTAGTATTTTATTTACCCTTCTAGGTAACCATTTCAACCCTTATTTTTGCAAAGTTTTGAAAAAAGTGTCATTCAGCATCATCGCCTTCGTCAGCTACAATATGCACTAATGTTTTTCTTGTCATTGTACGGAACGATGCCAGCTGTTAGATGAAAACACGTAATTATTGTAAAATGAGGGTTGGATTTTACGTAAAAGGGGAAAATATTCGGCAAAGGGGTACGAGGGCCGATGACAAACATCCGTCGAATAGGAACAGGTCACCGGTTAATCTTTTTTCCAGATTTCTGTAAAATAGGCACGCGCAATACAATGGCTTTGTACCGAACGCAAGTCTTTTATTATATCTGTCATTCCACAAACAAGTCCTTTGTAATAATGGCTCAATCTTTTGTAAAATCCTTCAAAATGGTAACAGAAGATTAAATTGATTTGGGCAGACCGAGGAAGCAGGCAGGGTACGGCCGACGCACGCGGCGTTTTGGGGTGAAATTTCACAAATGCAGAAATAAAATAAACAAGAATTTAAAGGAAACGGGGTAAATTTGGAAATGGCACAGCCGCCCTATTGTTATAGATCCCCCTTTTAATCCGTTTTATAGAAAATTTCGGATTTTCGATGATTTATTTATGTCCCTCACAGGATAGACAACTGTTCGGAATTTATTATCTCTCCAACTACAGTCGTCGGTGTGATTTTTTTAATACAATCTCGCCCGGGTTTTCGTTACATTTTCATAGATTTATAACGGAAAAACAATAATTTAAGAAAATTATTTACAACCGGTTTTTTTTAACAACACCAAAATTTTTTGAAAAAAAAAATGAATCAGAATGTGTCTATTTCATTGCAATACGCAAACTCTAATTAAATTAAGAATTTAGACAGGGTGTTTCAAAAAACATGAGCCATTTCTGAGAGGTCCCTCACGGAAAAATAAGATTATTTTTATATCAACATAGGTCAGACTTTGCTTTGTTTCGTAGCTACATATGCGGTTAAAATCTTCATTTTCCTTCAATTGATTATGATGTCTAATGATTCGAATGAAATTTTGAGGAAAGCAGTTACCATAAGTGCTTCTTATTTTATTACTAAAAGAGTGTCGACAGATTCATCAGGGACATGATTTCTTTTCTCTTGTTAAAAATTATATAGGACGTTTGTCGTATCTTGATACTGTGTCGATTTCAGTCTCCTTGATGAGATAAACGCAGTTTTATTAATCACAATTAAT